TTATGAATAATTATTATTATTGTGTTTAAGAAATGGGCAAGATGCCTAGAAATTGAATGAAAGAATGAGCTATTAAATTGAAATATTAAATGAAATAACTGAATTTAAAGTGATCATGTAAACCCTGCAGTAAATGTTGGGAGCTGTAGCTGATTGAACATATTTTCATCATCTGTTTTGTATGCTTAAATACAATTGCTTGATGTAAGTAAACACTTGATTGATATTCTGAATACTTTAAAATCTGCATATGCATCACAGAATACTGAACAATTAAAACTTAATTTCAGTGTAGTTTGATTACATGTAAATTATTTCAATATTCATTTTTTTCCTGTTCTGTTTGCTCAGTGCATATTTAATATTCACTTTTTGAATGCATATCACCCTTGATTGGACTGTGAGATGAGGAGGGCTCTGAAATTCCTTCCATTAAAAAGGATTGCCTTATAAATATTATTTGTGCCACGGCTCTTCCCCTGCAGATTATTTTCTAAATGTTGTGTACCCTTATTGAAGACAAGGAAAAAAACTGCTGCAGCCCTCCTTTATCAGCCCAGCACAAGGAATATGCTTACATGGTCGATGGGCATGTCTAAGAAGGCTTGTTGGTTGTAACTAGTCCCTAAAGAAATGGTTCCATCTTTTCTGCACTATATTTTTCTCTTGCTTGCATGAGCTCTCTCTTCTCTTCCTCCTCCCTCCACAGGATTTTTTTTTTTTCTGGTTCCTGGGCTTTTTATGAGATGTTTTAATATTATGGATAAATATTACAAATATTTTTAAGTTGACCATCTTCAACCTGAAAAATGTATCTCTGTCTTTATGTGACCAAACTCGATTTGGGTGTTGTGGAATACAGATGGCAAGATTCTGCCCTTTGATGTATTTGTAGAACTGAAGAGACTTCTTTTCCTTTCTCCCCAGGATCTGACCCGTGCACATGATTTTGGTTTACAGTATTTAAAATCATCTTATTCCTGAACATCCAGCAGGAGGAAACCCTGGGCACTTGATTCTCTTTTTATTTATGCTGGTGAAAGCCAGCAGTAGCCCCTCTGAAGTTAATGGGATAAAAATACATATTTTTTCAATTTCTTAGCTGTTTGATTTAAAAATTAAATACTTTCCTGGTATCTTTTCAGTTAAGGCACATTCTTAAAAAAGAAGAGGGCAGTAGGTCTACCCCTCCACTGTGGAAGGCAGGTCTGGATTCATCTCTGGTTTTGCCCGACACGCGCCGTGTCGTACTGCCTACATTCATTTCCTTCTCCGTACTAACAGCCGTCTTTTTAAATTTCAGTAGGATATGTAAAGAAGGCTGCCTAAGTGCATATAATAGCAGTATTATTTTATTATATGAGAATTCTAACTTCATCCTGTACGTGCCAAACGGCTTGCGGGGAAGCGTTTACCTGTCTGTCCTATAGAGTTAATCGCATTTTGAGAGTTTTAATCTTGAAGGTCATATTTCCGTTGGCTGTCACTTTGACCAAACAAGTGGCTGAACTTCATGGTTTACAGGCAGATTTCCTTATCTCTCTTTGTCGAGAGACATATAAGCCTTGATTGCCGGAGTCATTGTGAAGTGAGCAATAAGTAAGAAGGTGAAGGAGGGGTGGGAAGACGCTCACTTCAAGACCAGTGCCCTGTAGATGCCATTTGAAAAAGCAAATATTGCACCTTCTACTTATAGCACAAGAACAAAAGGGGAGGGTGTTTTTCTTGGGGTTTTTTGTTTGTTTGTTTGTTTGAGGAGGTGATAAACTCTAAGTGAAATGTGCTGGCAATAGCAAGAGGTCTCCCCATGACAAAACATGCTTATTAACCAGGCATTATTAACTGGAGGTCTCTCTCACACCATATGGGACTCTCTCTAATTGTTCCTCTAGAATAAAACTAGCACAGCTTCCATGCCAAAGAGACTCAAAATTTTAACAAGTATCTTCTAGTAAAGATAGTTTTTAAAAAAAAAACTGGACATTCTTGACTGATTTAATACTGTTTGCCTAAGTAATGCAAACTTGTCACTTTTGTTTGAAACCTCCACCTGATTTTAAAGCAGTTCCTTTTGTAATGATTTACCAAGTATCTGTGATTGTTATTTCCAGCTCTCTTGGTTTGTGAAGGGCATTTCTTGGATAGTTTTTCCCCCCTCCCCTTTTTTTCCTCAGTACAGATCTGAAAATAATGAGCTAACTTTGCAGTTTTATGAACAGGGACCATAATGAGACTGAAGTATGTATGTTGATTAAAGGAAAAAAAATAAAATTGAAATCTTTGTGAAACAGCAAAGAACTGACAGCTTTTAGGCCATGATTCCATTCTGCGGGTCAATCAAACGAAGAAGTTGCTTTACATTTTTGCCTTGGCTGAAGCAAATGGCATTCAAATAAATAGTCTGTATAGTTATAACTTTGGAAAAACAAAATAACGATGCAGACAGTCTTTTTAGCTAGTCGTATAGCCGGTTTCTGTTTGGTTTCCAATTTCCCCTCTAAGTACTAAGAATGTATATTTAATCCATAATTGAAAAGAAAAATGTGCCGGAAAAAGATATACATGATAGCTATTCAAGGTACACATATTTTAACATGTACTTATTTGTCTTAAATAAAGCATAGCTTCAGAAGCAGCATTACATCACAATGTATTTTAATGGACAATCCTTCACCTTGAAAAGCTTCAGATACCCAGATGTGCATAAACCGGTGGTGCGCCGTCTGCTCCCTGGTGATCAAGAGGTTAACCTTAAGTCATCTCTTCCCCTCCCTTAAACAAGTTGGGTGAGGAAGGCTGCAAATTAGGGCTTGGAAGACACAGCAGGGAGATAAGCTTTAGGGAGGAGAGGATTCCCCACTCCGGCTCCCAGGAGCCTCACCTGGAGAGAGCATTTCCTTTTCTACTTAAGCTAACACATTGTCACGAATGTTATTCCTTAAGGAAAAGTCCTCCACGGGCTCTATCTTGCGATCTGCTGAATCATTCCACCCGGGCAGCAGAAGAGAAAAGAGAGCTGTAGCAAGATAGAGGCAGAAAACCAGCATTTTGGCTTTGGCCAGAAAGAGAAATCCCAGTATGGTACATCATGGCCCACATGGGGGGCTACAAGAAAGCTGGAGAGGGACTTTTTGCGAGGGCGTGTAGTGATGGGATGAGGGTTAATGTCTTCAAACCAAAAGAGGGGAGATGGGGAGATTGAGATGAGAGCTCAGGAAGAAATTCTTCTCTAGGAGAGTGGTGAGAGCCTGGCCCAGGTTGCCCAGAGAAGCTGTGGCTGCCCCATCCCTGGAGGGGACCACGTTGGAGAGGGCTTGGAGCAACCTGGTCTGGTGGGAGGTGTCCCTGCCCATGGCAGGGGGATGGAACTGGATCATCTTTGAGGTCCCTTCCAATGCAAACCGTTCTGTGATTCTGTAGTTCTGTGGTTCTCACCAAGGAGAAGGATCCCCACGTTTCCCCTGTGCTCACACTGGCCTGAGGAACAGCACCAGCGTTGCCCACTCTTTCCCAAGGTACCCTCAAGTTAAAGAACTGTATAAATACTGGCACCCATATGATGCTGCCAGACAATATCCATTGAGCAAGCACAAGTGACACCTTTCTAACACTGAGAAATCACAATGCTGCTTTTTCCCCGCTCGGGCAAAGGAGTTATCATCTCCTTCCCAAACTTCAAGCCTGTACAACTGATCTATTGTTGAAATTGTTATACAGGTGAGAAAGAGAAAACTTTACCAGTAATGGGAAAAATACAGAAATCCTTCTGTATGGAATCAGAATGAATCAGTTTTATTTCACAACTGAAATCAAATTGGGGAATTTTGTTGTTTTGCGTATCTGAAAATAGTCACCAATTCTATTTTTGTTGGTATTTTTCAACAGTTTAAAATGTGCAGTTGAAGCAAGTGTGTACAAATAGAATGGTGGCTACATCTAGTGCAAGACAGGCATTAGCCCAGTGCAGAATCTCCTGTTGTGATCAGCATTCGCTGGTGCGATGTTGTGTGTATGTTCTCAGAAATCTTCTGATGGGTGGCTTCTTCCCTCCCATGTCTGTGGGATTCCCAAGGTTTGCAAACAAGAGGATCCACAGCATCTCCATCCCATGTTGGCATTTGCTGTAATGCACCGGGAGATGATGGTTGGTTTCTGGGTGGAAGGAAGGTGGCAGTCCGTGTCATTACAGAAGGAAGAAGCTGTTGCCCATCAGGCCCTCAACCCATCACAGTAACAGCCTCAATATGCCACGATACAGCCCTCGGGGGTTAATGGTAAAGGTGAAGGTCCACGTCCATGCTGCTCTCTTTCTACTCTGCCGCACCTCCAGGTGATACTCAGGTGGGGCCTTCTAGAGCACAGTTAGAGGTAATTTTTGCTTGTGGATTTTGCTCTTTTTCTCCTTGTTTTGCCTCATTGACACAATCTTCACCATAGGATCTTCCGAAAACTCTCATGAGTCTCTGCTAAATATTGGGCTGAGGGAGTTAGCAGGCAAAGCAGTGTCACCCCCTACCTTTTTCTGTCCCTGGGGACTCATGACTCTTCAGCATGGCTCGACTGGGTTACCATCTTCAGAGAGCTGTATTGAGGGGCCTGTGAGGACAAAAAAATCTGAACTTCTACAAAGACCTCTGAAGTCTTGTGAGATTTGGAATTAGGCTTTTCAGTAGACGATTTTGAGGTTCCAGCCAATGTTATTGGGGCTAGCGTTTGTCGGTACTGTGTCTGCAGCACCTTCAGCTCCTTTCAGATTCAGCTAGTTCTGATGGGACTCAACACCGAACATAACTCTTGCTGAAGGTTTCAAACGATGAGGATGGTTACAGGGAGCCACTGTCCTACCTCAAAGTATTGCAATCTGAGTATGAGCATATCAAGTACCCCCAGTAAAGCTTTGGCATCGCTTTTGGTGAGAAGGACTTCATCTGCCCGTTAATGAAATTTGACACAGCTCTTAAATTGCCTTCAGCGAGTGACATGTTTTCTTTTTCTTGCAGGTATCAGAGATTTGAAAAAGCATTTCTGCTGGCTGTTGACATAGGTGCTCGGGACCTGTTTATGGTGAGTCATTTCTGGAGAAAGAGGCTGTTGTCAGGATGTTAGTTGTCAGCTTTTGTCAACATGAAAATGGATCCATGTCATTTGCAGCCTTAGACACATGCTGAAGACAGAACTATTCTACCTGGTTTGCCCTTTGCCATCATGAAACTTGTCAATAGGAACTGAGCATCTTTAAGAGTCATTGACATTTTCCCTAGCGTGGCCTAAGGGCTATTCTTTATTTTCTAAGCAATAATGTATATGTTTTTGAACTTTCCCCTTCTTCATCTATCCTGATGTGGGTGAATGTCATCTTTCACTCTAATAAGCTTAAACGTTTCTAATCCTTTCCTTTAAGAAGTACAACTGCTGAGTCCTGGACACAAGAGCTGGCCATATCCCGGGGATCCTGAATGCTCTTAGTTTGTCTCGTAGGGCTTTGTGAAAAGTGACAAATTATGAACGCTTCTACAGGTACTTTTAAAACCACAAAGCTCAGCAGCATCAACCCAAGGGTTTTTACATTTCATGCGCTCTCTGCCCCCTCCCATTTAATTAGCTACAAAAGTAAAATTAACCAGCTCTTAAAAGGTCCTCTGTGTGAGCTCTGCAGGAGGCTCTTGTTTTATAAGATCTTGCACCACAATGTCACAGTGAGGTCAGATGGACAAAGCCAATCGTGCTTTCCTAGTCTCTCAGCATGTTGCTGCTCCACAGCTGATTTCATTGTTTTCAAAGAAACAATAGGAAAGGGGCTTGCTGAAAAAAAAGGGCCTTTGAACGATTCGTTTGCTTGACTCTTTTGCATAATGAAGACATTCTGTTGTTTAAATTAAGCTTTGACACTAGATGTTAATATCATTTATCCCATTAAGTCACTTGCCCTGCTAGTTTGATCTTGATATTTAAATTGTATGTTAAATTACACAATTAAATCCTGCTTTTATGGGTTATGAAAATTCCCTTCTAATTATATAAAAAGTTGTGTGAACCTTTTGATGTTTTTTTCACGGCTCTAATCATCTGGCTTGTTCCATCTAATTAGAAAGATGTGAATACTGCGATAAACTTTTCTAAGTATGCATCAAAAGGATGTGATGGAAATGTCAGACTTTTAGGAAATTCATTACACGTTTTATGTTTACTCTCCTCAATTTTTTCCTCTCTTTAGCTCAGCTTTTTCCTTTTCTCTTTTTATTTAATGTGACTTCTTCAATACAAATTTTATACCCAATCAAGCTGAGCACTGCAGCCGTATCTACAGTTAGACCATACCCTGTCTGTGGTGGGTTACACCTTTTTGTTTGGGGCTCTCCCCCCACACAGATAATAAATTCTCCCTGAGTCATTTCAACCGTTCTGGCAGAACAAATGTCCCAGGATTTGCCTTGCCATCTCCAGGGCCCTCTCTCGCATGGCTGAGAGCATCTCCTGCGTGATCTTTTCCTCTTTCCTTCCCTCTGCTGACAGCAGGACTGATGGACCACCTCCATCCCAGGGTGGGGAACACCAGTGTTGGGTCAGGAAATGGGTGCAAAGCTGCTAGCAAGAGGGAGGGACCATCAGTACCTGGCTTCACAAGTGGTAACATCCTCCTCTCAACAAAAAGGTTCTCCAACTTCAAGAAGAGTTTCAATGCTCACAGCGAAATTAGCTGCATCCTTCCTTGTGTGCAGGTCTGGAGCCCTCAATATAAGAAGGACATGGACCTGATGGAGAGGGTCCAGAGGAGGGCCACAAGGATGATCAGGGGGATGGAGCACCTCTGCTACAAGGACAGGCTGAGGGAGCTGGGGTTGTTCAGCCTGAAGAAGAGGAGGCTCTGGGGAGACCTAATAGCGGCCTTCCAGTACCTGAAGGGGGCTACAGGAAGGCTGGGGAGAACCTGTTTAGAAAGGCCTGCAGTGACAGGACGAGGGGCAATGGCTTCAAGCTGGAGGGGAACAGATTGAGACTGGAGATTAGGAGAGGGTTCTTCACTGTGAGGGTGGTGGAGCACTGGAACAGGTTGCCCAGGGAGGTGGTTGAGGCCCCTTCCCTGGAGATATTCAAGGTGAGGCTCGATGAGGCCCTGGGCAACCTGGTCTAGTTGGGGGTGTCCCTGCTGACTGCGGGGAGGTTGGACTAGATGACCTTTGGAGGTCCCTTCCGGCCTGAACAACTCCATGACTCTATGACTTCCTACTCTTCCTTGCGTTCCCCTTCCTCTCTCAACACCTGCTCTCCATTTCCCATCTCACCAAAGCTCTTAAACATAAATATATATTTCCACATAGTTCTCCTGGCTTGCATTACTGTGGGATCCAAACCAGTTCCATATTGTCCTCGTTCCGCTTGCGTTACCTCTGAGATTCCTCACAGTTGCCCCTAAATTGTTCAGCACGCACCTCACCCACCTGCCTCTCCGAATCCCATTAACGCTCTGCCTTCTCCGGGGAAGCTAATTCATCTCCTGAGAAAGGTACTAACGAACCAACTTCACAATAAACTAACAATGGCACTGCCACAAGACTCCCAAAGTGCAGGACTCAAGAAGTTTAAAGGTGTGTAGCTCATAAAAAGTATTTATTTGTGCCATGGCGATTTCCAGGGAATTGGGCTTCGTGGCACTAAGTCCTGTGTGAAATTTAGATAACCTGCTCCCTGAGAGCTTACAGTCCTTCTAGGTCCCAGTATAACAATGCTATTGCTAAGCAAGGTCTGCGCATCCTTCACTTCTGCTGAACACTGAATAATTTGTATATATTGTTTATATAGGTCAAAATGCAATTAATAACATACAACTTGACTTTGCCTATATTTAAAGTCTTTATAATTATGGGCAGTACGATTAACTAATATACAGGTCAATTATTTGTACTGTTGTTTTTCAGACCAACCAAATCCGTTTATAAAACCTCAGGTGGCTCTAGGTATTCCCGGTTAATTTAATGGGATTTCAAGAATAAATAGTAGGCCAAAGAAAGATATCTGATGACATAAGCGAAACGTGGAAGAAAAAAATCTATTTATTAAAGGAGAATAGAGAAGGAAGGAAAAAAGGGAAGGGTAGAGAGGAGCAGATATAACAGAGGTTGAGGAGGATCTAAGTGTTGAATACCCATTTTCTGAGACTTCTAAGTAAATGTCCTATGTCTTGGAAAATTTATCCTGAGCATCTTCTTCACTAAACGAGGCTCTGCAGCGTTCCTGTTGTTTGTTTTGAGATTGCAAAGAAGTTGGAGAGAATGCTACCTGAGAGCTAATTTCTTTCACAGAAATGAAAAAGAAAAAAGAAAAAAATAAAAAAAGCTTAAAAGTTAGTCCTAAAGCTATAGCGTCACTAGTATGATGCCATAACAAGACACACAAGACACTGCTGTGTCTCCCCATCAGCTTTACCCTCACGTCACGTCTAAGTCCATCAATTATTACCATCTCCTACAAAGTTCAATAAAAAAATAAAGCTGAAAAGGACATAATATCATGAACAACAGCTCCATTTATTGGACGGTGACTGATCCAATCTGTGACAGAAAAGATCAAGCAGCAGAAGGGGTTGTTAGCCTTAAAGCCTTTTGTAGTACGCTCCAGCTCTCAGCTGCCGAAAATTCAAAAGGCCATCCTGCGTACCAAAGGTAGCAAAAATGCAAGGAAAAGACACTTTAATAACACTGTCAGATCTTGGGTGATACACTGATGAGGAAAGTGCATGTTTCGAAGAAGCGTTGGAATTTTGCCCAGAAATGTCCTATAGACAAATGCACATCAGTGTTTCAAATTACTTCTGCTCACCAAGGGCCAGCTCTGTGAGTCACAAAGATGAGAGTCAAAAGGAAGTAGTCCAAAAAGTAATCAAACTGTTAAATGATAAAATGCAGCCCTTTCAGTGAACTCCTGATAAGCAGCTGGAAATTGTTTTTATTGTCACTGTTGTTTTTGAGAGGGACGTGATCTTTGAGCTGACAAGTTCTCATAATTGTGTGAAAAAAACCTGTAATGAATATTCAGCTCATTTAATTTTTTTCTGTCATTCTTTAATGCACCCTGTAATCAAGTGTTTCTTCTTTCTATGTATTTTTGTAGTTTTATTCTACTCAGAGATTTACAAATTCTTGCAAAAATCCAAATTCCAGCAAAAATCGCTGGCTTATCTGAATGTGGAAAATCTAAATTTGATCTGAAGTTGTGTAATTAGCAGTTTTTATATCTAATCTTTTCTTCCTAAAGCTTGTTTAGAGACCAGAGCTACATTAATTTTTTTAAAATTCTGTATGACAGCAACTTGAGGAACCACAAAGAAAGCCACTTACCATCCTACTGCTCTATCTTTATTTCTTACAAAGCCCCCGTTAGTTAGTGATGGATAAGTAGCATCTTTGCACTTCTTTACTCAAAACGTGGGCAAAACCAAGACCTGCAAGTGGCAGACGTTTTGGTGGACACAGCATGCCCGTGTCCACCACCACTTAAGTCTTCTTAAGCTGGAAGACTCTCTGTCATTTTCTGCAGTTGTTTCCATCCCCTTCACAAGTTTATTTAAAATTGCACTGAGATATAAATATACAGTCCTTTTCTTAGTTTAAACCACCAATAAAAAAAAAACTCAACACCATTAAGCAGCGTCAGAATATACTTTAAATGGGTGAACACAATCTGCCTATACATTCAATCTTTGTAAGCTCAGACTTGTTGGAGAGCCCTTAGGTTTTCCATTGTTATCTAAATAAGCTGACAATATCTAGTGTTTAATCTTCATAGAAATCCTGCCTCGCTATTCAGGCCCTTTTCTCCTAACAACCATGTTAGACCTGCAAAGAGAGGAAGTACAGAGTTCGCAACAAGTTCGTAACTCCTTACTTTGCCCCGAGACACTTGTACATTTTTTTTTGTAAGTCACACCTGTGCTTGTAATTAGACAAGGTTGCCGTCTCCTGCAGGCTGGTGGGATCCTGCAAGTCGGCACCAGGGTTTCCTGCCGGATCGGTCTCGCTTTCCCTAACGTTCCCAATTTGCTCCTTATTTTGGTTTTAATGTTTTTTACTAGTGTTATTATTCCACAAGGGGATAATACAAGCAGCATCTTTTTCTCCTGGCGCCGTCGCTCTCACTTCTACATCTAGCTTATCTTTCTAGAGTAATGTCACTTTTTCCTCTAAGAGTTTCCATCACGTTGATGCAGAAGGACATCACGTTGATGTCCTTCTCGTCACACTGAGAAGGACAGTTTCACCCGAGATCTCCTGCATTAGCGAGAATGTAGTTGTCCTTATGGTATGAGGAGCTCGATATTTCCAGCAAATACTCCTTTTCCCTTAAAATTCCTGCATGCAGGTAGACTGCAGAGCAATGGCCAGGAATTACTTGAATCTCCAGCTACCAAATGTCATCTTCAGCAAAGAATTGGGGAAAAATAAACTTTGCCAATTGTTCTTGGGCTTCCTTCACTTTGTACGTTCATCTGCAGAGCAACCTGTGGCCACGCTGCCAAAGGAGAAGGGGGTTAATTGCCTCTTTGTTAATGGTCAAAGATGAAACTTTATTTCCAGGACCAAAAGCAAGAGCAGTGAGATTGAAATTTGTCAGCAGGAATATGTTCTCCCGCGAATTGTGCTGGGGGTAGTACAGGTGGTTTTCATCCAAAGGGCTAACACGCAATAAGAAGCATTGCAATTCAGCACATAATGATGTGCCCCTGGTGCAGCCCTCTGATTTTTAACCCTAGGTCAAGGACTAGATCCAGAGTATTGGCAACTATTCGTGCTGGACAATGACATTTTTGCAAAGCCCCTTGTGGTCCAAGGAATCAAGTCGGGAATCAAGTCACCTGTGTGGGTGTTGAAACGATTGAGCAACCAGCCCCTTACTCAAAGAGCAGTAAGCATAACATGACAACCTCCAGACAAAAATTAGTCCCCAAAAAGAGCTTTATCCTAAAACTCATGTACTAAGTGGAAACCTTAAGGCACTTCAGAGACGGGCTGTCGGATCCAGAGCTTCAGGTGTGGTTTACACGGAGCCACCTCCTATCAACCTTCTCTCAATTCATGCAGTACCAACAGAAGTTACCTTAAAAGCAGCCCCATTGTTTCTTTCCTCCTCTGAGTCAATAGCTTCACTTCTGTCAGTGCAGGATTGGTCAGTGCTTTATTCATTGCTGTATTCAACAGCAGGAGTAAGATAATAAATTTGCATTGGGAGAGAATTAAACTGTAATGTCAGGTTCATCAGTTCCATCTGTGTTTGTGATCTAAATAATAAAAGAACCTCTTTCTTTCAAAATCCCTTTTGTTACTGCTATGAGATTCATTTTAGATTTATCTTTCTTTTTTTTCTCTTTTATTTCCAAAGGACATCCATTACCTTGCACTAGATAAGGGTGAATTGGCGCTAGCTGAAGTGGCAAAGAAAAAGGCTAATGACATTGATGCAGAATCAATAACTACTGGAATTGGTAAGAATTAATGGTGTTTAAAAAGCCCTTTTTTGTTTTAATCAATACTTGTCCTGTACAACACCGTGTTGTATTTGTAGGCGAGTTATGGTTTTGATTACATTGTTTTCTTTGAAAGTGAGACAGTATTTTTTTCATAATTAAAGGGGGAGGCTTATAAAAATAACGTAGCTTTGCCTTTGGGTACCCACGTGAGGATTGTGTCAATGCAAGAGCTACGAAGCAAAAAGAGATTTATAGTGTGGCATGGAGAAAAGTTCAGGCTGTGGAAAATGAACTGAGTGAATCTGAAAATCTTTGTTTGTGCCAGAGCTAAGGGCCAGGTATGGCAATCTCATCCCCCTCCAAATATTTGCTGGTGCACCCTGTGCCAGGAGCTGGAGTCACGTTGTCAATGCTTTGGCAGCATTCACGTGAGGCGTACACTGATGTGAACACAGGCTCTGTAGCAACAGCTTTGCATGTGGGTGGAATGCTTGCAGTTCCATAAGGAATATCGATGCAAAAATTGCAGAATTAGACTCATAGGGGAACTCGTAACTCATTCTCTTTGTGCTGTCATGAAGAGATGTATGCAAATACATAGACCGTTCTAACTTCAGGTCTACAGCACCAACCAGGCAGAAGGTGTCTTAAGTCTAGGTAGGTGCCTACAGCAGAGAGAAAGCAGACAAAGGGAAAAGAAAGGTGGCATCCTGGGGTGCATCAGGAAGAGTGTGACCAGCAGGTCGAGAGAGGTCATCCTGCCCCTCTGCTCTGCCCTGGGGAGGCCACATCTGGAGCACTGGGTCCAGTTCTGGGCTCCCCAGTTCCAGAAGGACAGGGAACTGCTGGAGAGGGTACAGCAGAGGGCTACAGAGATGATGAGGGGCCTGGAACATCTCTCTTATGAGGAGAGGCTGAAGGACGTGGGACTTTTTAGTCTGGAGAAGAGAAGACTGAGGGGGGATCTGATCAATGCTTATAAATACTTCAAGGGTGGGTGTCAAGAGGATGGAGCCGGTCTTTTTTCGGTGGGGCCCAGGGACAGGACAAGAGGAAATGGGCACAAACTTGAAGATAAGAAGTTCCACCTCAACATGAGGAGGAACTTCTTTACTTTGAGGGTGGCAGAGCCCTGGAATAGGTCGCCCAGGGAGGTGGTGGAGTCTCCTTCTCTGGAGACATTCAAACCCACCTCGACACGTTCCTGTGGGACCTGCTCTGGGTGGCCCTGCTTTGGCAGGGGGTTGGATGAGATGATCTCCAGAGGTCCCTTCCAATCCCATGTGATTCTGTGATTCTGTGAAATATGCACAGTGTTGTTTTGCTTATTCTACTGCGTCTTTGAATATGAAAGGAAATCACTGAGCTTTTGTCCTTTTCCCATGCCAGAAAAAGTAGAATATGATTAAGACTCGGAAGAAGTCACAAAACCTTTGAGGCCTTTGGGAAACATCGGATTCTTCTAGAACTGTACATCTCAGTGCTTACCCAGAGCATGCAAACAAATGCCATTCAAATATATAGAAGTGCAGAGAGGCAGGGGGTGTGTTTGTTCTTGCATATTGTGTGTATATATTTCTATATATTGTATAAACCCATGACTTTCAAGGCTATGCAGTGCAGTATCACCTCCTTTTCTCTGCAGTAGAGTAGAAATCAAGCAGTACCTGTCCTGAGCTCTTTTTTTCAGGGTCTTTCTTTTTCAATCTTAAGTGAATTCTAGCGTATTTTGGGTGCCCAGGGATAGGGCAAGAGGAAATGGGCACAAACTTGAAGATAAGAAGTTCCACCTAAACATGAAGAGGAACTTCATTTGCTCAAGATGGCCCTGCAGCTGGGCCTTTGCTCAAGCCCTTTCACCACTGGAATTGTCAAAAATGACATTCGTTTCAGTCTTACTTGGGTGTCAGATATAATACACACGTGTTATTTTGGTTATAAATGTGCAGGCACACAGTCTTCCCCTCCTTCCGAGCAGTCCTACAGCTACCTCTGTAACGCCCCATAAGAATCCTTACTAAAGTCATTTTAGATTATAAAGTCTTTAAGGTGTTCTCATTTGCTGAATAATGAACTACCAGAATGATTTAAAATACTTTCCGATGCCCCTGGGACAAACTGTCACTGAGATTCAGTCTATAAATGGTAATGAATTTGCATCCAGTTCATTTTATATGAAAATAAACAGAAATCTCCCAGGAGTTCCTTTCACTGTGGATTGGATCTCGTCTTAGACATGTGAAATCTCAGCCACGTGCTTTGTTTTGTTGCACTTTATTCCAGCGTTCTTTCTTGGTGACGTTTTTATTTTGTAAACTGTTGTTAGCAAAAAAAGGTGTCACGAGGGATGAACTTTGTGGACCCGGTGAAAACAGGTAATGTGTGCTTTATGTGTAAATTACTCTCTTTATCCAACATTTTGAGAGGGGAAGAAAAACTCGTGCCAGAGTCAGAGGCTTTAAAATGCAGTTTCAACCTAGTCTCCGTCCCCCAACCATCTCCTTGGTCAGTCCTCTCCATCCCGTCCCTGCTGTCTTGGGCTTTCAGCCACACCAGCTTCAGCCACCCATCCCACAGCAAACCCCAAACTTCTTGAGCACCCACTTCAGGCTTCTACAGGAAAGCAGCGTGTTTCACATCTATATCACAGTATAATGTTTGGTCCTAAATAGTACAAACGTGAACCGTTCTCGTATATCAACATCTGATGATGTTTCCAGAGCTAGCCCATCCCCAAAACTCAGCTCAGCACCACTTGAAAACAACATGAGTCAGTGCTCCTGGCTTATTCCCAAGCCCTTGAGAGCACTCCATCTTGCCCCAGATATATTTAATTTGTCAAGATATTTCTGCGTACGGGGCTCACTTCAAACATAATATATTTCAAACTCAGACTTTTGGAAAAGTTTCAAGCTCCTACAAATGATGTAGAGCGACAATATAATTTCATCTTAAATTTATAGATGTCATCCAGAGTTCTGTAATCCGTGGTAGATTCCTCACATGTTTTAGAACGAGATGCGTTGTCAAGATAAAACGAGAAATAGATTGATTGTTTTGAAATTTTCTGAATTTTAGTTCTTCTCAGTTCTTCCCGTGATGGTGGTTTGCCATTTTGTTTTGAAGAGGCCACCATGAAAGCTAAGAATGTCTAGGTGAGCGTGGTAAAAGCAGCTGTGGACCTTGGTTTTGTGACAATATAGTTGAGCGAGACGATGAGTCCGGGCAGCCTGGTGCTATGGGTTTGGCAGAGTCATGTATTTTGTCCAGCTGATTAAAACCTTCTAAAGAAAATTATTCTCATAAGATTTTATGTTTGACAGCCTGTGAAAATGCATCTCGGGGCATGAGAAGATTGAGGTAATGGTATCATGCATCTCGGAGACCGCATTAGTTCTCTCCTCTTTCCCCGCTCCCATTCGATCAGCCGACCGGTGGCCGTAGATACTGTGGTTTCCTCTGCCAAAGATTTCCCACTGGATTATTTCTGTAGTCAATCTACGGGTTCCTTAACGAGGTCGGGGAGTTCTCATTTAGCTTGGCCTGAAATACACTCTGTGCACCTCACTTCGCTTGATTGAAACAGAGGTGACTTTCCTTCAGTGTTGACAATATTTGCAGGCTCCCTAATAAATTCTGGTTTATGGGTGTAGCCTCAGATACGCTCTCCTGGAACACAAGTAACCAGGTCCAATATTGTCTGTGGTGGAAAAGCGCCGTAAACTCGTAGGTCGCTAATGTAAAAGTTGAGTTGCAAAGGAACTGACGTGGCACAGCCTGTTGAGAAATGCCATAACTAATAACCATCACGGAGGTGAAGAACTCGGCCTTTCAGACATCATTGCTCAATGAATATCCAACAAAGAGCATATGTAGTCAGTGTCAGAAAGTTTCCCAAGGCCAACTTCCAACAAATTACATTAGGGCCTCGCAAGATGATTTTAACCTTCAAATCAATAGCTTTCACCCAAAAGGGATTCGTGTTGTGACAAGACAGATAGCTGCTGCATAGTTGAAAGGCAAATAGGGAAACCCTGTATTTCAACTTAGAATTAAATTCAGAATATTAGTAATGCTAATGTTTAGGCAACATTTCTAACAGAGGTATCTTAATAAAAACACTGATGGTGAGATAATGGCATTGTTCTGAAACGCTAGATGGGACTGACTAACATTTTGATGTTAGCGCTTGAGGTTTTTCCACTTAAAATAGAAATTTAAAACATTTCTGGAAATATTCCATAATGTTTGCAAGTGAGATAGGAAACCTTATCAGTTCTCACAGAGACAGAGGTCTGATTTCCCACACTGTTCATAAAATGACATACAAAACATAGGAGCCTTAAATGTTTCCCCTTACTGGCGAGGAACAGCACCAGTTTGAATCCTAAGTGGAGAATTTGTTCATTTTTTCTTAGTTGCGGGATAGTATTTTGTATCGAATGGCTTACATGTTCTTTGTGGTAATTAATAATGACACATGCTGTAGTGTTTTGTCTTCCATATGGAGTGTCTGAGATACCAGTCTGGTTTTGCATATAGTCTGCTGCCTCCAAATCACTTACCATTTCCTCAAGTTCTTCCTCTGTTCCTGACACTCCTGGGGAGCCTGCTTGCCTTTCAATACTGTGTTTAGAATTGTCCCCCTCTTTCTGTAGCCTTCTCTGGCCCTGCATTAGCCTCATTGGTGACACTTCTTCCTCTTCTGATCCATAGTGACTCCTTTCATCTATGGAGCGACAGGCTCCTTCCTCATCCTCCTGTACCCTCTCCGATGGTGATGGCAAAGCCTTCTTCATTCCCTGCTCTTCTTTGGCATACTCTTCTTTCTCTTGCTGTCAAGTTTCAAGATAACTGAGAATCTTTGTCTTCTATTTCACTGTGTCACACGTTTGTGGCGTGCTGAAAAGGTATCACCCAGTGCAGAGATGAACCGTGATCTGGGAAGTTTTTGGGGACACCTGTTTATGCTCCAGTTTTTTGGAGATCTGCTCCCTTCAGTGTGAGCATCAGCT